CCGAGGGAGAATGGGAAGATGATCAAGGGAATGTAAGAGAGAGGGAACGAGAGACATAGAGAGGTATACATGTAGGTACTACAGACAAACAAATGTACAGATGTACACCTATATCGGAGATGAGCGATAGTGAGAGAGAGAGAGAGAGAGAACGAGGTAAAGATAGAGAAAGCCACTCAAAGTGGTCGCTGGAACCTAGTGCCGTAACGCTCGCTGTGCCTGCGGGGGTATCACGAAGTTCCACGTAAATGGCTTTTCACGGGCCTGGATGTTCGAAAGGGAGGCGCCACGCACGCGGGGAATCACGCACGTGGGGTTCACGCATTCGGGCTTTCACTCAGGTGGGGTTTCTCACGCATGGTTTTTTCACGTCCGCGAGGTTCCACGCGCATGGGGTCAACGCGCCTGGGGCTCAACATGCGTGGGCTGCCATGCGCGTGGTGCTCCACGCCCTGCATCTGTTCGGGGCCTCGGCGCCCTTCTTCTTCTTCTTCTTCTTCCAGCCAGGGCATGCCCGAACCAAAGGTTCCCCCCAGTGACAATGCCGCCCACCGCCCCCCCCCGAACCAGAAGCCGAAATCTGAGGAGCAAGCCTCCTCCTTCTCCTCCTCCTCCTCCTCCTCCTCCTCCTTTTCCTCCTCCTCCTCCGTCTTCTTTCGAAGCCTTCACTGTAGCGCAGCGGCACCGCCTGCTGACAGCCAGTGGGCTTCACGCTGGGACGCCCGATGCGACTCAGACCATGCGCGGCCTTCATCTTCCAGAACAATTGCAACTTCCGAGCCGACAACTGGGCCCTTCCTGAGTCCTTATTTCGAAGCCTTGGCTGTATCGCAGCAGCACTGCCTGCTGACAGCCAAAGGGTTTCACGCTTGGACGTCTGGTGTGACTCGGACCATGCGCGGCCTTTATCCCACAGAACAGTTGCGACGTCAGAGCGTCTGAGAGAGCGTGAGCTGGACACCGCCACTGAGCATGCCCAAGACTAACATACAGATGCTCCTTTCTCGACGCGCGGTAACATACACGGTGAAGCCGCTGCTACCACTGACTTGCTCTATCAATCAGCTTTCTTCCGCAGGCCACTAGCGCGTTCGCCTTATCTTCCAGCCACGACGCTGCCTTGCCTGGTACTGTCCATTTTCGGCGCGCCAGCAAAATTATGCAAGGTTTTTATTAAGCGGTTTGTTTCCTTGTGGAACTCCTACCTGATCAGGGGCTGCGTAATTAGTGACAGAGGAATCTCCGTCCAGCGCCCAGTGACACTTGTCAGGCAGAGGGATATCCGACCAGCGCAGGAGGAAGGCGCTAGCGTCACGATGCTTCCAGCAGTCACTTCTCCATCCCCTTTCGGTCCTTCTTGGATTGTTCTCTTCGGGCCCCGCAGGGCTCGGATTGTGCTCTTCTGACAGCAGGTCGGCTGGGACCTCCGAGTCCTGCTGGCTGGGTGACCCCGCCACGCCGCCGAGCGCAGACACGCGGCGACGAGTCGCTCCTTGAGCAGCCCGCTGGCAGGCAAATCCGCCAGGCCTCGCGCGGCCTGCTCGCAGACGAGAGCCCTGATACGAAATGGGGTCACCACGGGCGCCTTTGCCCCTTGTTCGGGCTCCAGGACCCTCATAGATCGATTGGGCTCGGGAGATGCCGCAGACAGATTAGGCAGCGCGCCCAAGGAGGAAGTGAGAAGGGGCGGGCCTTCTGATCAAGCTCTGATGTTCACTGGCCTTTCGAGCCGTGATCTAAGCCTTCCCCGGAGACACCGAAAACTTCTCAGAAGGCCAGGGGGCTTCAGAGAGGCCCCGCTGCCTTCTGAGAAGGCCTCCCCCTTCCCAATTCATCCCCTCGCTCGCCGCCGAGAGACGGGGTCCAGGGGCTCCAGCCATGATGTTTCGCGCTGTTGCAACTTATTCGCAACGCCGGATTTTCCTGGGGAGCGCAGGGAGCGCATGCCAAGGCGGCAAAGTGCTTGCCAAACTCAGGCTGCAGGCTGGCACGCACGGGCAGCACAAGCTTCGGCCGCAGTGGCCACACTTGGCAGCGAGCCGAGGGTGGAAGTGAGAGGGGGCAGGCCTTCTCAGAAGTTATCTTCCCTCGCGCCTTCTGGTGAGTTGTCTGAGCCTTCTCTGAAGGCGCAGACAACTGCTCAGACGGCCGGAGGGTTTCTGAAGGCCCCCGCTGCCTTCTGAGACGGCCTGCCCCTTCTCCCTTCCCCCCGCAGGCGCGCCAGCGACGCACTGCGTGTGGCGGCGCAGTTGCGCTCACGAGGTGCGCGCTGGCATGCCCAGCGGCACGAGCCTGCACCAAGACGTCCGGGGAGCAGGGGGGCAGGAGCACCGCCGGGTCCCCCACCTCGAGGCGGACAAGCTGGCGCCGATGTGGGCGCCTGCTCGCCGCAGTCTGAGGATGGCACGGCAAACCCGCCTTCTCGTCTCAGGGCGGCCAAAACCAACCATCCGAAGTCTATGTGAGGAGGCTGGGCCGTCCACCCCCCGAACTGCCTGGAGCCAGCATGGGCTGACCTGTTCGTTCCCCCTTCCTTCCACCCATGCCGATGTTTCCTCGCCTTGAGATGGCTGCAGGATGCAAGAAGCTTACCCCCCCTCCCACTGAAAAGAATAATAACGAGCTGATCAATTCACACATGAACGGATGCTTGGCACTCGACACCCATCTCCGTCAAAACGACTCATAGCTGATTTGAAGAGTACGCGCTCACAATTGCACGTGCACGTCAATCATAGTTAGAGCGTCGGAATGCGATCATTAAGGCTCAAGCCCTTTGAGCAGGTCGGTCCACAACAGCAGCCGGCCGTCCTCCTCGACTTGATCCCAGACATCTTTCCACCTGCGGAGTGGATTGGACGGGGCACGTGCGGAGCTTCTCGCAATACTGACAGCGCAGACGGAGCAGAGATGTGGGGCAGAGCGGTAGCACGAGAACCGGCGCTTCAAAGATGCGGCCATGAAGGATGGCGCACGAAAGGGCGTCGGGCCGACGCCCGACCGCAGAACGGGAAGAGGGGCGGACGCGTGTCCCCACCAACGCCCGCCAGATTCGGGGATGGACAGACCTCCCTTTAGTAAAACGTGGTTTAGTGAAAACGACCTGAGGCCCAAACCTGGCGGGCGCAGGCCTGGGAAATAACGGCCACGGCGCCCTCTCGAGAACCGAAAACGGACAATTCACTAATCGACGTGTCACTGTTGGGGGTTCTGTCCACCCCCGCCAGATGGACACTTTCCCCAGCCACTCCGGCGCTGTGGCCGGGAAGGCGGTGGGAGGGCGGAAGAGGAGCAAGAGGTTGAACCAGAGGAGTCTGGCCGTTTCTGGATTCGATGTCTTTTCTCTTCTCTTGGCGGCGAACCTCCGTGGCACTTCGCCGGGTCGGCCCCCATAGCCCCCCCTGGCGAACCTCCGTGGCACTCCGCCGAGTCGGCCCCCACAGCCCCCCCTCCGTGGTCATTTGGCGTACTGCACTGATGTCCTGTTGAGCTTTGGCAACAGGGTGGGAGGAAGGGCTCGCGAAGCGAATCACATCCCCCTTGGTCATAATATACAACAGCACCCGCCCCCTTGCTGGCGGGGGCAGGAATTCGTTACTTTTCCATTCTCCTTCGCCTCCTCCTGTCTCTCTCGAAAGCGCTCTTTCCCAGACATCCTGTACCTGGTAGGGGCCCTGGCAGGAGACACGCTCTTCCAGACACCCCGTACTTCGGGTTGTACGCTGCCATGACCATTTCGGAAGCGCATTCTGTCTTCGTCAACGGCACATCCGTTGATTGGGAGTGTCCGAATCGATCCTTCAACGGCCAGACTGGGAACTGTCCTGCCTCCAGTCCTGAGGAGATGACGCCTCATCATGTTTCCCTGAGCCCCCTGGTCGCATTCCTGGAACTGTCACCCAGTTCAGCCCATGCCAGGCGTCAACACATCCATGAGAAGAATCGAAAGGCTCGTAGTCGAGCCATTTCGGCTTGCAATATCGATAATCGTCTGTAGAGTTTGACAGATGCTCGCGAGGGTACACTCAACGGGGAAATTTGGCAATGCCGGTAATCCAAAGCATGGCAACTCATGCAGACTCACATCATGACACGTGCCGTGCGCTGTGCAAGGTGGACCGATAACAACGCTTCCAGCTGCAATTGGGGAACCCGAAGATACCGATGCCGCGACTCCCAGGACCTCTCCCGTGGTGCGTTCTGGCCAGAATTTCGAAGTTAATCCAGCCGTGGCGGCGAGGGCCTCCCTGGCGGCCCCACAAGGCGAAACCGAGGCAAGGGTAGCGGTAGCGGTACCTTCTCCGACTCTGAGTAGCGGCAGGCGCCCGTGCACAAATGCCCATGACCAATGCAGCCTGGCAGCCTCCGACTGACCAGCCCATCCAACGCGCCAGCGCCGGCCCCCTGCGCAGGGCTCGGACTAGAGCCGCCCCGCACACGAGCCCCGCGAGCACAGGGCCCAGGGCACGAGGCGCAACTGCCATGAAGGAACAGAGCACGGCATACATGATGGGCCAGTTTTCCACCACCACTACCATAGGTCGGACGGGGGAGAAGGAAGGCTGGGGAGGTCCGCCTCCTCCTCCTCCTCCTCCTCCTCCTCCTCCTCCTCCTCCTCCTCCCTCTCCTACCTATGGTAGCGGTGGTGGAAAATCGGCCCATCAATACACATAGGGCCTCAAGACAACTCCACCGCAGAAGTGTGGACGAGATGGCTGCTGGTGCAGGCGGGCAGGGCGTCCAAACTGTTACGCAACGGGGGGGGCGAGACCAGCAGGGCGTGGAACGGATCATACCCCTATCGCCCTTGCGCAGCATCATTTGCGATGGTTATCCACATGAGCTTTCGGAGGTCCGCGCGGATTTGTTGGATCTGAGATGGAGTCCCCTCCCTGGCGCGCGGAACGCGCCAGGGACAGCGCCAGAGGCGCCGTCAGGGGGGCCCAACTCGGATCGCACAAATCCGCACGAACCTCCGAAAGTTTCTGTCGATGCTGCTGTTCCTTTCTCGATCCCAGGCGCTGGCGCGAGCAGTGCCCACATCGAGCCGAGGACGTCCCCCCGTCACTCGGCACAGCCGACGGCGAGGTCTGCCGCGAGCAGCAGGTGGTCCGACGGCTCCTCCGCCGAAGGGAACGCGTCGCTGTCCGCGAACTGCGCGGCACAGGGGAGATCCACCGCGCCCATCACCCGGATGTCGTCACCCACAAAGATGTAGTCCAGCGTGCCGACGAACGGGCTCTCGGCGTCGGCGCGCCAGGACCTGATGGTGAACGCGGGCTCGGCGCCGTGGCCCTCCTGATAAGCGCTCCGCAGGCGCTGCCGAGGGGAAGCGCCCTCCTCCGCCGAGGGAGTGGACCCGCCCGCGGGCAGGGGTTCTGGCACAATCTGGCCCAGGGCCACCGAGCCCTCCAGCAGGCTGTGCGCTGGGGCGCCCGGCTGCACGTTGAAGTCGCCCGCGAGCACCAGGGGTTGCTCCCCCGCGAACCGGCGCGCCAGGCCTGCCACTGCCGCGGCGTGCACGGCCATCACCTCGGGGGTTGTTAAAGGTTACCCTGGCTCAAGGTGCCCCCAGATTTTCGCTCCATCTTGGAGCCCCTGGGCCCCTTGGGCCCCGTGAGAGGTGCTCTGGAGGGCGTTGGGGCTCCGAAGGGATCTCGGGCCGGGCTGGGCCAGCGGCACTTCTAGCAGCTACAGCAACATCCGATCGCCTGCTCGAGCAGCGCGCTGCCGAACAGCGCCGGCATGTGGTACGTGGCGACGCAGACCTGCTGGCCGGAGCAGCGGAAGCGCAGGCGCGCTGCCGCGTAGCGGTTCGGCCGGCGGCGCGCGATCGTCCACGGGTCCACCTCGGGCGCAGTGCCGCCGAGGACTGCAGCCGCGCGACCCTTGAGCCAAGACCACCAAGACGGCGGCGGGGCTGGCGCGGTGGACTGTCCAGGCTCGACCACGCGGCGGACTTCGGCGTCCTGGAGGTCGAACGCGCTGTTGCTCCAGACGAGACAGACTCCCATGGGGTCGTACGCGTACCAGGGCGTCGGCGCGTAGATCAGGTGGTAGCCTCTGGGCTGGAAGTGGGCGTGCAGGCGGCAAGCCCAGGCCTCGTTCACCTCCTGCAGACATAGCACTGTGGCGTAGGGGCTGGCTGCTATCGCCCGGTCCAGGCGCTCCAGGATGCGCGTCAGACGCAACCGCTCGTCGATCTGCGCGGGATCACAATGTGGATACGAATGCGAAGTGCACAGGCTCGGGTTCAGCACATTGTAGGTCACCACCCGGAAGCGACTGCCGGGCCCAGCTTGCGAGCTGAGCTCGCGCCCGCCCGAGGGCAACGCAGCGGCCGAGCGGTGAGGCCCGCGCGGAGGCCAGGCTCGCCATGCCAGTGGACGTACTCGACGCAGCTCCCTATGAAGTGGGCCCATTTTGAAATCATCACAAATGCCTCGGCCCGAAACAGCAGAAGTTACGGCGGAGGCTCCGGGGGTGCCCACGGGTGTCATCGCTGAGGGGCTCACCACCGGACTCACCACCTCCTCCAGGACATGGACCCTCCTGGACTCCCCCCTAGAATCCCCAAGAACTCCCCAAACACGCCCCAGAAACGTCCAGGCCTCCTCTATCCTCGACCCTCCTTCCTCCACGACCCGCTGTTTCTAGAAGGAAGGAGGTGGTGCCCCCCTACTGGTGAACCCCCCTTGGGCCCCCCCGTTCATAGGGCCACTCGGCTTTCGGGCCTCAGGTCTCCGACGGCCGTTCGGGACGACCTGGGCACCCACGGAGCACTCTCGGCCAGCCGCAGCGCTGCCGGAACTCATCCCGAGGCACGAGAACCGATGAGAGAACCGACGAAGAGGCCCGAAAATAGCCAACACCTCCAAACCGAGAACCTCCAACCTCGGCGCCGAGCTCCGTCCGACTCCGACCAGATCCGGCCCTTCCCAGAGAGCATGGCTCGATCCCCTCTCGCGGGGCGCCGCGCGACGGCAGGAGCACGGCGGAGAGCCGGGCGCGCCTGCTCTGGGCCACCTCCCTCTCGAGGTCCCTCATGAGCTGGGCGGCGCGCGCCACGCCCTTGAGGATCCTGGGAAGGCCAGGGAGGGGGCGGGCCCTGATCCCCTGGCGTTCGGTCGGGCATGTCCTCCTACAGGCTGATTTTGGGCGAAAGAAAAATCAAAAAAGAAGTATCCGGGCGGAAGACCCAACCATGCGCAATTGTGAATACCGCGTTGTGTGTACAGTACCGCTTTCGGTGGAGCCCCATCTGGGGCCACGAACCGTGTGAGGGGTGCGCCACAATGGGCGTCGGGCGCATGTGGCCTGTGCCACTGGGGCATTCGGTGGAGCTCCCTGTGGGGCCACGATCCGTGTAGGGGTGCGCCGAAATTGGCGGCGTTGACGCATGCGGACCCTGCCACTGGAGCCTTCGGTGGAGCCTTCGGTGGAGCCTTCGGTGGAGCTCCCTGTGTGGCCACGAACCGTGTGAGCGGTGTGCCTAAAGGGGTGTCGGTCACCGAAAGCGGACCCTGCCACTGGGGCCTTCGGTGGAGCTCCCTGTTGGGCCACGAGCCGTGTGAGGGGTGTACCACAATGAATGGCGGCCTCCGCATGCGGGCCCTACCCCTGGGGCCTTCTGTGGAGCTCCCTGTGGGGCCACGAATCGTGTGAGGGGTGTGCCAAAATGGGCTTGGGCCTTCGGTGGAGCTCCCTGTGGGGCCACAAACCGTGTGGGGTATGCCGAAATGGATGGCGGTCCCCGCATGCGGACCCTGCCTCTGGGGCCTTCGGTGGAGCTCCCCATGTAGCCACGAACAGTGTGAAGGGTGTGCAAAAATGGATGGCGGTCCCCGCATGCGGACCCTGCCGCTGGGACCTTCGGTGGAGCTCCCTGTGTGGCCACGAACCGTGTGAGGGGTGTACCAAAATGGGTGGCGGTCCCCGCATGCGGACCCTGCCACTGGGGCCGTCGGTGGAGCTCCCCATGGGGCCACGAACCGTGTGAGGGGTGTGCCAGACAGATTCGGATGGGCATGCGGAGAGCAGAGGCAAGGGATGGGAGGAGGGAGAAGGGGGAGGGGGCAGCGGGAGGTGAGGTGAGGTGAAGTGAGGCAAGGTAAGGTGAGGTGACGCGGGGCGCTGTCGCTTCAAAACGAAGACCCAACACCACAGGATTTTCGGGAACCAAAAACATGCTCCGAAACATACACTCATAACTTGTCTTAAGAAATTATTTGTTAAGAAATGGAGACCCAGCTTTGGTGAATTTCTTAACCCCGGTGCGAGACCCAGCTTTCGCCGCCGAATTTCTTAACGATTCGGCTGAAGGGTTGTGCTGAGGGGTTGTGCTGAGGGGCTGTGCTGAGGGGTTGTGCTGTGGGGTTGCGCTGAGGGGTTGTGCTGAGGGGTTGTGCTGAGGGGTTGTGCTGAGGGGTTGTGCTGGGGTGTTGAACTGAGGGGTTGTGCTGGAGGGTAGTGCTGACGGGTTGTGCTGAGGAGTGGGGCTGAAGGGTTGTGCTGAGGGGTTGTGCTGAGGGGTTGTGATGAGGGGTTGTGCTGCGGGTTTGTGCTGGGGGTTGTGCTGGGGGGTTGTGCTGGGGTTGTGCTGGGGGGGGGTGTGGGGGGTTGTTCTGAGAGGTTGTGCTGAGGGGTTGTGCTGAGTGGTTGTGCTGTGTGTTGTGCTGAGGGGTTGTGCTGGGGGGTTGTGTGGGGGTTGTGCTGGGGGGTTGTGCTGAGGAGTTGTGGTGATGAGGGGTTGTGCCCGGGGGTTGTGCTGAGGGGTTGTGCTGAGGGTTTGTGCTGTGGGGGTTGTGCTGGGGGGTTGTGCTGAGGAGTTGTGGTGATGAGGGGTTGTGCCCGGGGGTTGTGCTGAGGGGTTGTGCTGAGGGTTTGTGCTGTGGGGGTTGTGCTGGGGGGTTGTGCTGAGGAGTTGTGGTGATGAGGGGTTGTGCCCGGGGGTTGTGCTGAGGGGTTGTGCTGAGGGTTTGTGCTGTGGGGGTTGTGCTGGGGGGTTGTGCTGAGGAGTTGTGGTGATGAGGGGTTGTGCCCGGGGGTTGTGCTGAGGGGTTGTGCTGAGGGTTTGTGCTGTGGGGGTTGTGCTGGGGGGTTGTGCTGAGGAGTTGTGCTGAGGGATTGTTGTGAGGGGGTTGTGCTGGGAGGTCATGCTGAGGGTTGTGCTGAGGTGTTTATTGTGATGGGCGCAGCACACCCTCCAGCACAACCTCCATCACAACCATCAGCACAACCTCCAGCACAACCTCCAGCACAACCATCAGCACATCCTCCAGCACAACCTGCAGCACAACCACCAGCACAACCTCCAGCACAACCTCCAGCACAACCTCCGGCACAACCTCCAGCACGACCTCCAGCACAACCCCCCAGCACAACCCTTCAGCACAACCTCCATCACAACCCCCCAGCACAATCCCTCAGCACAACCACCAGCACAATCTCCAGCACAACCTCCAGCACAACCTCCAGCACAACCTCCAGCACAACCTCCTGCACAACCTCCAGCACAACCTCCAGCACAACCTCCACTACAACCTCCAGCACGACCTCCTGCACAACCTCCAGCACAACCTCCAGCACCACCTCACCACATCAATGAGTTTGTGCTGGAAGAGATGCGCTGGAGGTTGTGCTGGGGAGGTTGTGTGGAAGATGCGCTGGAAGGTGGTGTTGGATGTTTGTGCTGGAGGTTTTGTGGAGGTTGTGCTGGGAGATTGTGCTGGAGTGTGTGGTGGAGGTTGTGTTGTAGGGTGGAGGTGGTGCTTGAGGTTGCGCTGGAGGTTGTTCTGGAGGTTGTGCGGGAGGTTGTGCTGGAGGTTGTGCTGGAGGTTGTGTTGGAGGTTGTGCTGGAGGTTGTGCTGGGGGTCGTGCTGGAGGTTGTGTTGGAGGTTGTGCTGGCGGTTGTGCTGGAGGTTGTGCTGGAGGTGGTGCTGGAAGTGGTGCTGGAGGTTGTGCTGGAGGTCGTGCTGGAGGTTGTGCTGGAGGTTGTGCTGGAGGTTGTGCTGGAGGTTGTGCTGGAGGTTGTGCTGAAGGTTGTGCTGGAGGTGGTGCTGGAGGTTGTGCTGGAGGTTGTGCAGGAGTTTGTGCAGGAGGTTGTGGTGGAGGTTGTGCTGGAGGTTGTGTTGGAGGTTGTGCAGGAGGTTGTGCTGGAGGTTGTGCTGGAGGTTGTGCTGGAGGTTGTGCTGGTGGTTGTGCTGGGGGATTGTGCTGGGGGGGTGTGATGGAGGTTGTGCTGAGGGGTTGTGCTGGGGGGTTGTGCTGGAGGTCGTGGCTGGAGGTTGTGCTGGAGGTTGTGCTGGAGGTTGTTGCAGGAGGTTGAGCTGGTGGTGTGTGCTGCAGGTTGAGTGGAGTTGTGTGGAGAGCGCTGGAGGTTGTGCTGGAGGTCGTGCTGGAGGTCGTGCTGGAGGTTGTGCAGGAGGTTGTGCTGGAGGTCGTGCTGGAGGTTGTGCTGGAGGTTGTGCTGGAGTGTGTGCTGGAGGTTGTGCTGGAGGTTGTGTAGTAGGTTGTGCTGGAGGTTGTGCTGGAGGTTGTGCTGGCGGTTGTGCTGGAGGCTGTGCTGGAGGTTGTGCTGGAGGTTGTGTTGGAGGTTGTGCAGGAGGTTGTGCTGGAGGTTGTGCTGGAGGTTGTGTTGGAGATTGTGTTGGTGGTTGTGCTGGAGGTTGTGCTGGCGGTTGTGCTGGAGGTGGTGCTGGAGGTTGTGCTGGAGGTTGTGCAGGAGGTTGTGCAGGAGGTTGTGCTGGAAGTTGTGCTGGAGGTTGTGCTGGAGGTTGTGCTGGTGGTTGTGCTGGAGGTTGTGCTGGTGCTGGAGGTTGTGCTGGAGGTTGTGCTGGAGGTTGTGCTGGAGGTTGTGCTGGAGGTTGTGCTGGTGGTTGTGCTGGAGGTTGTGCTGGAGGTTGTGCTGGAGGTTGTGCTGGAGGTTGTGCTGGAGGTTGTGCTGGAGGTTCTGCTGGAGGTTGTGCTGGAGGTTGTGCTGGAGGTTGTGCTGGTGGTTGTGCGGGAGGTTGTGCTGGAGGCTGTGCTGGAGGTTGTGCTGGAGGTTGTGCTGGAGGTTGTGCTGGAGGTTGTTTTCTGCTGGAGGTTGTGCTGGAGGTTGTGCTGGAGGGTGTGCTGGAGGTTGTGTGCTGGAGGTTGTGTTGTAGGTTTTGCTGGAGGTTGTGCTGGAGGTTGTGCTGGAGGTTGTGCGGGAGGTTGTGCTAGAGGTTGTGCTGGAGGTTGTGCTGGAGGTTGTGCTGGAGGTTGTGCTGGAGGTTGTGCTGGAGGCTGTGATGGAGGTTGTGCTGGAGGTTGTGCTGGAGGTTGTGTTGGAGGTTGTGCTGGAGGTTGTGCTGGAGGTTGTGCTGGAGGTTGTGCTGCAGGTTGTGCTGCAGGTTTTGCTGGAGGTTGTGCTGGAGGTTGTGCTGGAGGTTGTGCCGGAGGTTGTGCTGGAGGTTGTGCTGGAGGTTGTGCTGGAGGTTG